GATATACACTAAATTTTCCAGTGATTAATAAATTCTGTAATGGAATTCTTACTCGTATTGCCCATTGAACAGGTGTTTCGTTCTGTTTTATGATAGATAAAGTGTCAAATAATCTCTCATTATCGAAAATTTGATTGAGTTTATTAGCATAAGTTCCACCATAATGTGATATATATGATACAATATGTTTCATATCATATCCAGGACGAATGTTAAAGGGTTTAGGAAATATTTTATCTTTTTTATCAATGATAGTGGTGATATCAAAACCAGACAGATTTATCGATTAGGATGTTTAGACCTATTTGATTTAATAACTTTATACTCTAGAATAACTGGATTCAATCTTGGTGCGGATGCTCGAAGAGTGCCCCATAGGGCCTGGGTTATTAGATGAGTTATGTATATTCGTCATATTTTGCAAGTGACACATACGATGAGAATGGGAGAGATCCATATGAATCTAAAGATTCGCCCCTTTGGGTCTGGTTTGTAACAAGAGTTGTAGACCCGAAGGGTCATGCCTCAAAGAAACGTATCCGGCTTGCTTTGCAATAGTTTAGTGTTGATTCTAAAGAATTTATTTGTGACGATATTTATGTGTAAATCGCTCATGTATTGTAGTGTATTACAAGCATATGATTTAATTTTCCAGCGATAGATGTAATATACTCATCACACATCGATCAACAAGATATCAACCGTGATGCTATATGATAAATTGGAAAGTAAATAGCATAAAAATTTTATTAGTAAAGATTTCTGGATTTATTTTATTGTATTGGCCAATACCCGCTCCGCTGATAACAATGATCGAGAATTTTTCTTGGCAAAAATGATCGGCGTTACAAAATGTAACGCACATGTGGTTCTTATTTCATTATAAAGGAAAAATATTACGAATTCTTTAGCGAAAATCCCAATAAACAGTAATTATGCGAAAAAAATTAGATAAATTAGATCTCAAAAGTTCATTTTTGTAATAGTGGATTGCATCTACACAATGTTAACAGCTTCTATTTTAAAATGTCCACTGTTAAATCACTATGTTATAACAAATAAACTGATCCAAGTTTTTGTAATTTTCGTGCATGGACACAATATCCAGCGTTTTCCTTATTGATTCGGATTTAATTTTGGTGTCTGTTTATTACTAAATATTAAAAACGATAAAAATTTCAGAATTATTGCATAATATTGTTATCATAAAATGTACAATACTATTAATAAAAGACCTTTATTAACCGTTTTCTTTTTTGATCTGTCCGGTGTTGTATCAGTTTTCAATTCATTGAGTGGATCACGTTCAGGAGTTGTAGAAGTAACAAATGTTTTATCATCCAACTCAAATGATAGATTTTCGATAAAACCCTAGGAAAAATACTTATTAATACATGACAATATGACTAGAGATAATTAAATAATATTAGAAACAAGGCTTACCTTAATATTCCATGCCCATGAAAGAGCAAGACGTAAATTGCCATAAGATGAATAAGAAAGGGGTAGGTTGAATGATTTAGGAGATGAAGTCGATATACGTCACGTTTTTCCATCATATATATTCGGATTTCTGTCATATATTGCTGATCCAAAACAAATTTTATATTCAACACAAGTTCACTAGTCATTACAAGATTAACAAGACCAATCTCACCTGAATTCCAATAGTAAAAAGATTTGACGTGCATCTATTTCTATTTCGAAATTTTTTTAACATGTCATCTAACATGTCTTTGAGCATCCTCGGAAGTTGATACTCATCAGAATTCCACTTGGTAAGATCATATTTATGAGGACCACCACAACCAAGCCCACAAACAACTTCTTGTTGATTGATTTTACACAATAAATCTGCTAGGTGGCCCCGATCAAGCTGGTATTCTAATATGTTTCTGTCTTGATTTCTTCTTCGAATAGTTGCAATTACTGTAACCTCCCCCCTAAAAATAATTTATAAAAACTTAGATATTTGAGTCCAAAGATGGAAAAATGAATCAATGCAAAACTTACCAAGGGACACGACAGAAAGTGTTCAATTTCAGAGCTCCTTGAAAGATTGGAATTATGTAATCTCCGAACCATTCCCTTTCCCCGCAATCAATTTACTGTATAGGGTTATACTCGGATTCAAAAGCGTCAAGACTAAAAAATTATAGTTAAAATGATGATTTCAACATAATCTAAACCCATAAAAAAAGACTTACAATGGTCCAACGGCACGTTCTGCCCAATACAAAATCTTTTTCCAATCTTCCTTTTCATATGAAAAATCATTATTATATTCTGGTGCCTTTAAATTTCTTAAATTCTCCCATTTATCGCGAGATTCATAAAGTTTCGGTTGTTTCTATGAATATTACAAACATAAATAATCGTAATAAAATGCTCGAATTTCCAAATATGTCTTACTTTTTTACAAAGAGGACCAAATAGATGATCACAAATGGATTCAATTTCTTTATGATATTCGGATTTGATTGTGGCAGGCCGGTCAGCTATGAGTTCTGCCCATAATTTTGGCTCAAATTCTTTTTCTATCTGTGACTCGGATGTAAGATCTAGGATGAAACTATGTGCCAAGCTGTATGAGAATAACAAAATATAAAATTATGGAATGAACGTAATCTGTAATTGATCTAAGATTCGCAAAAAAAGCTTACTCAAATTTCGAAGTGGTTTGTTTTTTACAATATTTCTCCATTGTTAAAATTACATAAGCTGAAGGCTCGTTAGAAAAAGAATACAAATTATCGACCTCAGCATATGACCGCTTGCGAACGTTCTTGAATGATGATAGATATTGAAACGAGAGATTAATAAAAACAATCATCGTTTAACCATTTAAACATAAAACAATAAAAATAACTAAACACCTCTTGAGTCACCTTTTCTTTTTCATTACCCTGACCAGATTCATCATCAACAGAGATAGCGACCTCATTTTCATTTGTATTGCGTATCTCTTCAATTTCTTTTCTGGTTGAGTGATGTTCCTAATAGATTCTCATTAAGACTATTGCGATGGTTTATTCCTAAATTTGTATTAAAGCCTACCTCTAGTGCTTGTAACGTGCTTGATGATGTCACATTTCGACGCACGGCTAGATGGAATCCCCTTCTTTCATCTTTTAATTCTAATTCATTAATAAAATTATTCACGTTAACTGAAGAGAATGACTTATCAAAGCTTGTTAAAATTTTTCTCGCTTTTTTTTTTGCGTTCTCGTGAATATGAATGTTATGACTATCTCTGAAATTTTGTAAAGCTGAGTATATTTCCGTTTTCAAGGTCTCGATTATATCAGTGGATATTTCAGATTTTGATTCGATATATTTGAGCATGCCAATAATCGTCCAATCCTTGCACATTGTATTTCCAAGATATTCATTTATAATTAGCTCGAACATATCTGCAATAAAATAGAAGTATTGCGAGTAACTAAAACACATACACAGAAAACTGGCAAAAGAAGTGTTGAAAATCAACGGTATACTGGAAAGCAGGATGTAGGGGGGAGGCAATGAGCACGCGTGCTCAAGAACATTCCTACAGGGTGCTTCCAAACATCTAGCGCAGGACGTAATGGCCATACGCCAGTAGGTATACACAATACATCCTGGATACTAGCATGTAGGGAGGAGGCAATGAACACGCATGTCCAAGGACATTCCTACAGGGTAGCACCAAACATCTAACGCAGGACGTAGTGGCCATACGCTAGTAGGGATGTACGTGACTGTAAACCTTACCAGAGCTCAGAGAGTTATGGAGAAGATTGACCTTATTTCTTTACGTTATGTCTCGAAGAATCCTGTTCTGAAATAACAGTTATAAAAGTCAAAATAAATTAAGTATACGCGTTTGTAATACATATCACGTGATAATCACCATTCTTTTCGATTTTTTACATCAATATTATTTAATGCGATTAACCTTTTGAATATAGCCTATTTTGTAATAAACATGTCGAACGATCAATTAATAATCAATACCTTGAGAGAATTAAACTCTAGGCTTGCATCCGAGATTACTGAACTGAGAAAAGAGAATGCCGAAATTCCTGAACTTAGAAAAAAATTTTCCGAAGTTGAGGCCGAGAACAATGAACTTAAAGCTGAGAACGTAAAATAAGCATCATTGCAGAGCAATGGTTCTTCGAACCTACAATACTACATATAAAAAAAGTACCAAACTTTGAGACCAGTCACGGTCGAGTTACATCACCATCACGTGACGCAATATTTTACCCAGAATTCTGCGGAGCAGGGCTTAAAGGCCTAAGTTCGCCTAGTATTTTTCCTAACCTTTAATGCTACATATTTGATATTTTCCAAACTTAAATTTGAAATAGATGGTGCAGTAAACGTTTTTATTCGTTGGATATATGTCATTCTTTAAACTTTATCTCCACCAATACGAAAAAAAAAAGATCATAAACTTTTCTGGCTCTTTCTGTTTTCATGTCATTCTTTAAACTTTATCTCCACCAATACGAAAAAAAAAAGATCATAAACTTTTCTGGCTCTTTCTGTTTTCTTTCGGAGTGCATTCTTGGAAATTTCCTTTGGGAGCTGATCTCGAACCTCATCATTAACCTTCTTTTGAGCCTCGTTTCTCCAGTTCCTCTCCAAGGAAGTAATATGCTCTTAAGACTTCATGATGTGCATTATCGCTATTTTCCTCAGCTTTGGATATTTTTAAATATAGATAAAAAAAATTTCGGGAACCCTCGACTTCTCGTACAGATTCTTTGTGAAGACCTTTTTTCTCCCTAATCTCAGAAATTCGAGTGGTATCGGAAGATAATTCCCGGATAAGACTTTTTAACACAATCGAGTCCTCATCCTTAATGACTTTCTTAGCTTTTTTACTGGAGGAATTTTCGGTTGATTCATCCGTAGCTTCATTAGTCCGCTTTTTACCTATCGAATCGGATTGGGTTTCAACTTGAGATTCCTTTTCCTTCTCTTCTCTCCCCTCATCATCATATCCACATCTTGAGACGAAATTTTCCCATCCAGATCCATTGGTTGACCCTGGGATGAAATTCTTGGTGAATTAATTTCAGCATTACTCTTAAATCCTTCAACTAAGGTACTAAAATATCCTTGGTACAGATTGAGCATTTCTGGATTTCTGGAATTTCGATTTCTTGAATTATAGTATCTCCCGTGATTTTGAGGATATTATATGCAAGAGCTTTGAGGTTAGAAAAAGCCATGTTAATGACGAACGAATTTCTCACATATCCTACCTGATTTATAACGTATTGTTTTCAGTAATAAAATAGCTAGCCTATATCAAAGGATCCAAAATTAGTATATACACCGAAACACAAGTTAATTAATTGCACATCTCGGACCGAGCGATCCAAAATAAAAATACCCTCTATTGTCAGTATAAAAACTAAATATCAGAACAATGAATGACCTTTTCGATTTTATTAGTGTAAAAATAAATTACACGAATGCATGAGGCTGAACTATCTGTTGTAAAACAATGGCTCTTCGAGCCTACCCATTACTTTGTAAATTTCCTGATCCTCGATCTCTTACTGGCTGGGGTATTGTCCACACTAATTCGGTCCTTCAATAACCCAACAATAACACCTAACACCCGCTTTACTCCTTTTCGAATTGATTCAAGATCCTCCTCGAACGCCGTTTTAGAGAGATTTATTTGATATTCACTTTTGCTGGTACAATAAATACCATCTGTAGCAAAAACGATAAAATCTCATTCCGTAGCTAAAAATATTAAGCGATAGTTAGTATGGGAAAATCTGAATTATTCCAAAATTCACGTATATACCTGTGGAAACTACCCCATAGATAATCGTAATCATCATCCTTGAATGCTTCATCCGCTGTACGTTTCTTTTTATTTGTAAGGTATGCGCTCTCAAGTTGCATGATATTCTGAAGGTAACCAATTTCGACATTACGAGGCTTTCCTTCGGCTATACACATAAGGTCTTCGTTTCCTTTGATGGCGTAGTCAACACGACCATATGCCTCTTCACCAGAAACGTTTTTTTGGTATGATATGTAGATTTTTTCCTCATTCGTAACTTTTCGAACGATTGCTAGCGATGCATTTAAATATCGATGTAATAAATACACAGCGAGTAGCTTCGTTGGCGTTGGTCTGCATCGTTTCCAAATTCGAAAGTCTTAGTGTTATTTCATTCATGCACTGCTCAAGTGCTTTGTCGTTGTCATCGATTTCCTCGAAAACTGTATAAAAAAAAGAAATGTTAGTATATAATCTATGTGTGCGTTCTTTTTCGGAACGCCGATCACTTTGCCAAGAAAAAATAAACACATACCCGGATTGAATTGCTTGATGCTCGTAATATCCTCACCATTGACTTTGTATTTGCGGAGAACGTCCTTTAGTTCTTCCAATGTTTTATATGACGAGAAGCTACGTATCTTTTGTTACGTTATCTCTTCGATAAAATCACAAGAACGGTTACAGTCCCACCCTTCAAGCCATAGCTACGAAATTCTTCTTTGGTAGTCTTGAGAAATGCACGACGAGTGATCTCTTCCTGCCGGAAAATCTTGAAATGAGATTCTTTAAGATCTAAGTCCTGCCGGCGTAAATAGTCGATAAGCTCTTCCGTCTTATAATTTTTCACAACGTCCGCCATCGTTCGTGTTGACCTTTCTTCCGTCAAAGTAGAGGATGTAGAAACGGGTGAAGAAGGGATTGAATCGTGTGAAGACATGATATCTTTTATATCGGTACAAGGCGTAAAAAATCTGGTTTATGCGATGCGTTGCAAGAAGCTAGATAATGCAAGGGAAGAGAATGAAAATTTTTTTCGTTTATTTTTAGGTGGATCAGTGGTTTTTTATTAGTATTTGATTGCGCAACTCATGTAGAATGGACGATCTCGGAGATTGCGGAGATTTCGACTTCCTAAGACATAAGTCTTTCAACATACGCACTAATAGAGATTGTCGGTCCGCTCCTTTTCGAGATCCGTTTACGCTGGTTCTTATCGTGAAGCATGTTTACTTATTACAGGTGTTATCTCAAACTATGGTAACGAAAAAAGATTTACGCATGTTTCACGAACTTCTACGCCAATCACTAATTTGTAGATTTAAAACACATGACACCGCTCGTGTGGTCTACGTACAAATACTTTTCCTGTAGTATGTAGCCGTGATAAGAAAAACAAAGAAGTTTAAAAAGACTATAAGAGGAATGGTCTTATCAATTCTCATTAGTATCTTTATCAAAGTTCTATGTCACAATGATTCAACATTTCCCAGATCATCGCGATCATTACCTTGTAGGAGATCGTCAAAATTAGCACTCATGTACTAGCATAGCTATGGGGTTTATTATTAGGGGTAAAACATAGAGGGCTAAACTGAGAAAATAATGATAATGTATTTGGTTTTTGGAATAGATTTGACCCCGTTAATGGAGCTAATGGTTCTGGATGGTATAAAATACTTCGTTTTTTTTTCTCTTGTAAGCATGGGTATCAATAACATTTTCTATCGTTAATTCCAAAGTATAATACTATTTAATGTATCGCTATTTAATTAAGATTGTAAAACGTATTTGTATTCACCGTTATTCTATATTTTAGGAAGAAAAAATGAGTAGCTCTAATGATAACTCCGTCTTCAAGGCCAATGAAAGTAATGTTTCCAAGGCCAACAAAAATATTGTTTTTAAGATCAGTGAAAGTAGCGTTATTAAGATCACATAACCCAATGACTCATCATCAAATTCAGGGACTGTGGATTTTTCTCGAACTCGTAAGTAAATTTTATGTGTCAAAGACACTATTACCTTGTAATGACTCTTCGAGTTTAGCTCCGCTATACTGTACAATCGTCAGAGGTGGCAATATTTGACGAATTAAATTTTATTTCAAAATAGGCAAGATAGAAATAATACAAGGCAATTCAAGAACGATTCAAACTGAATCTGAGAGAACAATAACTGATATTAATTCATCGGCAGATAATATTAGTTTATTAAGATTATTAGATAAAAAATAAGTATGAAGAGTGTAGAGCCTCTACTCATATTCACATAATATAACGGCCGTTCGGCAATTTTTTAAAAAATAAAGAGCACTCGCTATATATGCGGATTTAACATGTCTTCGTTCTCTCGAGGCTCATAGTTTTACGCTGATCATTGTCCCATCTTAACATATGCTTATTATTTTTCTCGATTCAAATTTCCGGGTGTATTAATAAATTTATCAGATTTTGAAAGTACCTCTACCCGTCGATGATATCGATCTTTGGCTTGTTTCATCAATGTGCCACCAGGTCTATAAAGCCATTTAATTATTGCATGCTGGATTATTTTGGCGGAATTAATTTGTCTTCTTTATAAACGATATGTCCGCTGGGTAATCAATGACGCATGATTTTTTTTATATAATGCTAGTTGAACTTTAAAATTTCTATATTCAGGGTCATTACCTATTTGTTTATGGCTGGTTAAATTATTTTTGATACGAAATACAAAATTTTCCCAGTAATCTCTATTATTTATTTCATATCCTAGTTTTAATAAACGCTTGCGTACATACTTTTGGTGGATAATATTTTGCAAACCGTAACCGTTTTAATATTGTTAACGATATATTTACACCATATTCACCTAACCTTTCTCGCACTCTGCTATAACTCACTATATATTTGCTACTTATTTCATATAAATCTAATATAGTTTTAACTGGTACTTTATGATTCGGAGTCGCCCAAGGGCCTGATTTCGCAGAATAAAGTTATCGTTGTGATGTTTTATTATAGCAATATATTTAATTCTGTGTTTTTAAACTCGTATTAATAAATAATATTATGACATCAACAACAAGTAAACCTACGATCAATTCAAGCACTAACTGGTCGACTATAACCGAAGAATTCGCCAAAAAATTGGGAGTGGAAATTATTGGAAATAGCCACGAATCTCAGAATAATTATGGGGAGGTATCCTGTATTGTTAAACAAGTATTGAGTAAAAAAATTCAGATCTCTCTTCACCGATTACTGGGGATAGAACCCGAGATTCAGCAAGATATTATAAACGCAATAGTAAACCCAAATATTACTGAACAACGATGTGTTATATCTGTAAAAAAGAAAAAGCGCATACATAATTATTCCCCGTCTTCATCCTCAACTGAATCATTCTCATCTGGGTTCGACTCTGAATCGTCTAGCTACGAAGTGACTACCTCCGGCAACTATGATAAAGATTTTACTGTGAATTTGGTGAAAGTGAAGAAGCGTAATTAGTTATCATCATTAAGTCGGAATGGTCTCGCTTCTTCAGGTTTTTGTCTCCGCTTTCTGTAGTTTACTACAACGTAGTTTTGTGCTGGAGAAGTGTGATTTTCACTCGAATGCCTTAAACATTCTCCAGCAATCGTATATGCGTGAGCCATATTCTTAGCCTCATGTGCGACCACACCAATAAACGGCTCCCATTTTTCTTAGGTAATTGGGAAATAAGCCATGGTCTTTTAAGAATCTATTGAACCATTTAACTCCTGGCTTACCTGGATTACCCATTTGGCCAGAAGATATTGCACGCTGAATCCAGGTGAGTAATTCTCTGGCTCTTTCTTGATTCTTCTCCATAGATCTAAATTTTCTAGGAATATCTGGTTGACCCCGATTCTTTGCATATCCTGTTACTCCAGCATCTGTAATACGCAAAGTTGTAAGCTCAGCAGGATGAATACAAAGCATCACCATGACATCAGCAAGAGCCCAATAATTGGGCGAAGTTTTTAAATCATATGCATCTAATCTCTCTTTGACTGATTTTAATGTAAATTCATCTGGATAACCAATACGATTGGTTTCAGCCTTTTTCTGATTGTCCCTCTGAATTTTGTTAGCTTCTTCTGTAAAGTCTGGAAATTTCGTGGCCTCAACTATTGTGGGTAAAGCGCCAAGGCTTCTTAATTCTCTTCTGAGTTGGGAAAGACATGATGAACCAGCATTAGCATTTTTTGCTGATAGGGTTAAGGCATAAGCTTCAGCTCTTATATCCCGAATACTAAGCTTATCCTGCCGATGCGCCATCTCTCCAATTGTTTCTCGTGGGACCCAATCTTTCGAAGAAAGGAGACTTTGTCTCTTAGAAATAACAATGTTTACTATGGAACAGGGCACTTCGTGCATGGTTTTTTTGCTTTTTGGTTGAACATTTTTCTGAATAGAGAATAAGTTATTCACTTGACCCTTACTAAACCCATATCTATTTTGCAAAATTCGTTTTGCTTTCTCTCTGATGATCTCTTCTGAACTTTTTGGGGGCTTGGCTATAGCTATTCTATAATCACCTTCAACTAAATTTATAGGTTTGTTTTCTCACCTCTCTGATTAGATATCAATATACCTACCTGATCATCACTAAATTTAAAATTGTCTTGAAGGTGTCTGTGTGCCTAATTTTGCTTTCTATCATCAGTTAGATTCTCGAAAAACTCTGAGGTGTATTGACTGAGATCAGCCATACTCATCTTGGAGCTGAGATTGTATTTTTCTATGATTTTAGTTGTGATGGCTGACATAGTTGAATGTTATAATAGGTTAAGTAGTTGATTAACTATACTTTAGATTATATACACTATAAAAAATATTTTTTTAAAACGAAATTAATTACCCCCCAATGCTCAGAAAAAGAGAGTATATGCCTACGTATGGATAACAGGGACATCAATTTGAAATTTACTATTACATAGGATATAACAAAAAAATATAACTTTGGAGACAGGAGCCCAAGCTATATTAAGGTTTATAATTCATTTTTTTTATAATACTTGAAATAGATTTTGATATGTTTCTATACTTATCGACCATTTCTTGTAAATATTGGATCTATTTTCCATTATATCAATTGATGGTATTATAGTTAGATGGGATAAAGCATTCATGAATCTAATTTGCTCAGAATAATAATAATTCATAATATCCGATAATTATAGAAATTCTGCCAAATCTTTTATGTACTTAAAACCATTGCGCATTGGTTTTCAGAATGTTGACCCATTGTGATCGATCTCTCTCTTGATTAATAAGTTAACTATTTTTTGATTTGTTTCCATTTTTAAATATGATATATAGTATTAATATATATTCGATTATATTTTTACAAAATAATTTTAAAAAGTTTAAATTGATTTTATATTAAATATATTTATATAAAAGGTGAAATAGGCTTTATACATTATATATTAAATCACTTTAAATAGGGTATTCAACCAGTCAATATGTTAAAGAAGATGATTTGGAGTATTCAACATATCAATATACCAAAAGAGATAGTCTGAGGCATTCAACCTGCCCATATATTAAAAGAGATGTTTCAATTTGTGGAAAAGGTTGTTAGTGGAACATAGGGTGTTCGTTGCACTGAAAATTTGCCATCACACTTTAATTTTCTCCTCTAGAACAAATATGAAGATTTTTGAAGCACTTCCAGGTTTTTATGAATTTTTCCAAGTCGTAATTTGGTAGCAGTTACATTTGTATTAATTGTATTTAGAGAGTTTTCATTAAAGACTAAAAACATGGCATTCCAGATTTTTGAAGCTGTGGTTCCTTTAAGCGATCTGTGTTATCTTATAAACTATTTTTTTTTTTTAAAACGCTGGTTCAACCTTGTTTTATTTATATTTATGTAGCATCATTATATAGAAGTTTTTTAAGATATACTACTAGTCTACTACCAAACAAAACTCAATAGAGATAACCTCTCTTCGGAGGAACTTACCTTACGGCTTGTTACCACCCCTTTAGTGGAAGCTAACCTGACAAGGCTAAGATAGTGCTAAAATAAATTTTGAGAATATAAAAATTATCTATCACATTTGCTATCTATTATGTTAGAAATTCATTGATCAGGTGGGTGAACTAGTCTTTTATTAATTGTTCTTTTTGCATGAAGAGTGGATCTTCTTCTTTAGTTTTATATTTGAACTTCTTTTCCTTTTGTTTCATGATACTATTCTGTATTTCTATTCTTGGAAGGCCTCGCATCTTTTTGTCTATATTTGATAAAAGTATTTAATGATTATTGTGTGAATTAGAAAGATGCAGCTTTTCTTGATTATTTGGTCTAGAATTATTCTTTTGATGTCACAAATTAGTTCTTTGAAGAAAACTTCTCTTATGCTTGCTATTATATATTCCTTATATCTCAGGTTGGTGTTGTTTTTTATGTGATCTATGACTTTTAAACTTTTAGTTTTGTTCACATGTGTTTCCACACATTCGACTATTGTATTGATAATAAATGTCTCAATATTTTATCTGGTCTGCAGGCATATAAAGAGATGTATGTTGGTTTTAGGTTCTTTGTATATTAAGCAGTCCTTGTTTTGATATAATGATAGGGCTCTTGTATATAGTTTGCTTTTGATCGGTAGCTTCTCATTTCATATGCTAAGGCAGAATTTCTTTAGCTTTTGATCCTCCCATAATATATGGTGATTACTCATTTTGATGGGTTGCAGGTATGTTATGGTTGTGTGCCAGTCTGTTTCTTTGATGATTCTATTATTGAAGTTGTATCTTGTTCTGTTTAATAATCTTTATTTTGCAAGACGTATGGCACCTGTAAGCTTTTTTGTAATCATTTTTATGGGAACTTCAGTAGGAATGTTGTTTCATTAGGGATCATATCTTTTATTAATATATATACTGTACAGATTTCATGGATACATCGGACCTTCCTTCCTTCCCGGAGTCACAATTGAAGGATCTATATAAACTCTTATTACATATTTATTAACAAGTAATTATACATTTTTGAAGTAAACCTATCTATATGAGTAACTATATCTATTCTACTTCTATATATAACTATTACCTATTTGGAAAGATATATGATTCCTTCTTAATTTTTTCCAGAACAATTTTATTTATATTAAGAGTAGTCTGGTTATCAGGCCATCGAATTTTCTT